GAAGTAATGCATTAACATCAATTATCTAGATGATTGCATAAGTTATACATGTTATTCCTAACATTTATTATCACTATGTTAATCTTGTCTTGTTTAAAACTTACTGTGAACCTCCCATTAGGCCTGGGCAAAAAGATCGAAAAACCGACAATACCAATCAAATCGAATCGCATCGAGCTGGTTTGACACATGTAATTGGTTTGGTTTAGTATCCTTCTTTACAAAATCATGGTGGGTTGGTTCAGCCAGGGTTTGAATCTTCAAACCACTGGTTAATCTCACCAATATAACCCACTTACACATTTACCTTTTTTTTCCTTAAAAAAAAATTAAAAAACAAGCCATAATCTCATAACTATATCTCGATTCCCTCCAACATATGATGTTGCCATTAAGTAATAGCACTACAAATTTGCTTTCACCGGCTTCTTAAATTATACTTTATATTTTTTTCTCTACTCAAGCAGTTAGGCTATATAATGCATAAGAAAACATCAAAATTCATAAGTTTTCTGTTGATTTGCCTCTATTAACCTGATTTTATTCATGAGATTTGTCAATAATTCTTATAATATAAAGTTATTTAGTTATTTTATTTCTTGTAATCTAAGTGTGCCAAAAATTCGAACAATTTAAAAAAAAAAAATCAATTTGGACTAAAAGTCCAAACCAACTAACCGAACCAAACCGATATGGTTTGAGTCGGTTCGGTTTAAAAGCTAGAATTGGTTGGTTTCGAGTTGGAGTCTAAACGGACTCAAACCAAATCATGCTCTAGCCTACCTCCCGCCACTATAACAAACAACTAATTGCCTATTAGGTGATCAAGCAATCAAGGAATGAAATAATCATGCGAGAATAATCAAAAACACAAAAATACACTAACTACTTGAATTAAAAATAAGAAAACAATGATTTCATCTCCATCCAATACAAGGTAGAGTTTAGCCTAATATGTTTATGTGAAATTTACACAAAGATACTTGAAAACTCATCACCCGGAAAATAAGTAAATACAAGAAGATTGATGGAGAATCAATTTATTGTTCTTGAATTTGACTCCGAGCCTTGAATCTTCAAATCTTGATGTTAATTGCGTTGTTTTCGTTGCTAGCCATCTTCTCTATGATATGATATATGTTCTTTTGTTTTCTGCCTCTCAAAAAAGGTTAAATTGTGATTAGAAGTTCTTTTTATAAAAAGTTGTAACTATAGAAGGAAACTGATCCGACTCTCTAGGTTTTGTCCATGCGATCGCATGATAGGATGACTAGCGATTGCATGAGTCATACACTTAAGCCTTGGGTTGTCCATATTTGGGGGTTGCCTTCACACCCCATTTTATACCATGCCAGTGAATCAATTTTCAACTATGGGACCAACTGCAAGCTGGTCCCTGACTTTTCTCTTTTTCTTGCAATTTCAACCATTTGCCTTCCAATTACATCCAGGTGAGTCCGTACTGTCTTCCATCAATATTTGGTCCGAAAACATTTATTGAATACTTATATTTTGGTCCCAAAACTTTGGAATTCTTACTGTTTCGGTTGAATTAATTCATTTATTTCAATTTCACCTCTAAATATCGAGTTTTGCCTAACAAACAATAATTATACTATTTTAAGCTATAATTCATTAAAAGCAATCTCAAATACTCGCATTTAACAGTCTAGATTAGTCTAAAACATACACTTATCATATGGTTAGAAAAAAATAGTATTTAACGAATAAAAAAAAAAGGCAGAATTGAAATTTCGGAAGTAGTAGTATAATTTCCATACCTTTCGGCCCCCATTATTTGCGATTATAATTTTTGGAATTTAATTTTTTTGGTAGAATATGAGGTTAAAAAAAAGAAAGGATTTTTTTTTTTTTTACATATAATATTATTTTATTGAAAAGTATGTAGTTGATAAGAAATGAGAGAAAAATAAAATATAATTTTAACGGAGACCAAATGTAGGCTAAATATGAGACCTAGGCCATTGAACCTAAGAAACACTAGTGCCGTAGGGCGGTATGATTTTGTTAAAAAAATAATTTTTTCAGTAAATTTTGATAAAAATGAAGCCAATCACCTCTTCTTCTGTCGTCCCTCCACCATCTCCTCTCCTCTCCAACACAGGCACCACTCTCTAAACTCTAAAGCGAAATTAGAGTTGTGTTTTCATAAGAAAATTACAATAACAAACTATGTAGCAGTATGAATAAGGGCGATCAGTTTTAGCATAGTCATCGAATTAAGTTTGCTA